AACGTCAGGCCAAATGCTGTTCAAAGATCCATGCATCACCCAGCAGTCACCCTTGCCAATTTAACTGCATTTATGCTACAGCCAGTAATGAAATACGCTCAGAGACGGTAAATTCACTGTCATTACATGAAAACGTTAGTAGAAAACGGTGGCATTTCAAAAGGCATTTGATTAATCCACCTTTTTTCTACATTTTTCATTTGTCTGTAATTTAACAACACACATTCACAACTATCCCACGTCTTCATGTGGATTCATACAACCTGAATCGCAAATTAAATATTTAAAAGTATTCATTTTTTAAATACGTTGCACTTCACTCACATCCAGCTATCATTTCAGGAGCTGAAATGGCAGGGAATCAGTCTTTGGCAAACTGTTTAATAACTGCTTGTCGTTAAAGGCCACATTAAAGAACAGACACGGAGCCAAACTAAGTGCAACTAGCTCAATTCCGTGATTAAAAATATCATTTACTAGCAATAGCCTTCTCCTTTTGGCAGCCAACACATTATCCATGTGCATTAATTTCTCCTTTCCCTGTTAGAGAGACAAACTTCAAATCCTTCCTCTGGTCCTTTTTGGAACCCCGTTGATCTTTGAGAACCACTCCTTTGACTCCAGTGACCACACTTACATATCCTTCTCTAATTCCAGTAAAAAGTCACTGGGGAAGCCTTGTTGGGCAAGTCCAACAATAGCAGATCAACTTACAAAAAAGCAAAACTAACTTCCAAAAAAACTTCCACTCTTCCTACTGTCTTCTAAGGTAGCATCCTATTAGCAGTCATAATCTTAGCACTGCAATCCCAAATTCATTATTTATCTATCCATAATTAGTTGTCCATAAATAGAGTACAGATAATGGCTGTCTCCAGAGCTAACACGATGCTTTTCATGGTCCTGAGAAGACGATGTTCAATTTGCTTTTACTGGTGGTACACGTACAATGAGACCTCACCAGAATTTACTTACTCTCACTGCTTCTTGCTGAGGCTTCAGCAAAGATGCCTCTCGCCTCCCAAGCCACCATAGGGCACACATCTACTCCGTGCCATGCTGCTGCGTCCATGCACCGGGCATCGTACGGACACTGTGGGCCCTGAGCAGCATCCTGGCCCCACGCCATGCCATGCTGTGGAGAAGCATCTCTCCCTGGAAATTGGGGCAGTTGAGTGTAGACTTGCTATGGCTTGCTTTCCAAAGAGGTGCACGAAATCTGAACAAGGTAACTGAAACTTAGGTTACCAAATAATCCAGTGAAGCCTGATTTTCTGTTTCTTCCTTCTGTTTGCCAGCTGATGTAGCTGGCACTTTCTCTTAGGGAGTTTTCATCCACTGGAAATTCAGAATTTGTTTCTCGTGTTATTCTCAACTGTGTCCCCCCAAAGACAGTATATCATCTGCTTACTGTAGTCCTTCAGAAACCACCCAAAGCCAGGACGTCCAACAGCCTTGCTTAACTTCAGCATCTGCAGAACTCATGCTGGAGCCTTGTAAAATTACAGGTCCCCTCTACCTCCCTTACCAAATGACGTTGAGTGACGATATTTTTTAATTTTATATATATATAATTTTTTTTTTTATAAGGCAAACCACACAGCTTCCTTAAATGCAGACTATTATATCAAAACAGCAATTGGGTTTATAAAAGCATTGCTCATTCACTTCTGATACGATGCCTGTCTTCCAGGTCTCCTCAAAGCACCAGCACCACCAGTGGGAGATGGTCCGTCAGTTCTGAGCGTGGCAGTACAGGTTAACCTGACAACTGAGTTTTATAATACTGTGTTGTTTCACCAGCACTAGAACTTTTCATGTGCACTTTTAAGAACTCTCTGCTTACGAGGAGTCTTTGCAAGTCAAATTTGCAGACTGCCAATTCAGACTAGGTACAAATTTTCCTGACTTTTAATATGCCTCAGCACCAGGGTCCTTGTGTTACCTCGGCTCCTTGCTGTCGCTCGCTCCTGTTCCTCAACAGGATGGGGAGAGAAAATAAGATGGAAAGCTCATGGGTCAAAATGAAGACAGGGAGAGGACTTAACAACTACTGTCATGGGCTGAACAGACTCCACTCAGGGAAATTTCATTTATTGCCAGTTAGAGTAGGATGGTGAGTAACAAAGACAAAAATAAAAGCGCCTTCCCCCACCTTCTTTCCAGGCTCAACTACCCTCCTTCATTCCCGACTCCTCTGCCTCCTCCCACCCCCAGGGGTACAGTGGGATGGAGAATGGGGGTTGTGGTCAGCCATAACAGGTCCTCCCTGCACTCCTGCCTCTGTAAATTTCTCCTCTGCTCCAGCGTGGGTCCTTCCCACAGGCTGCAGTCCTTCAGGATAAACCTGCTCCAACATGGGCTCCTCCAGAGGCTGCCGGGGAATCTCTGCTCCGGTGCCTGGAGCACCTCCTCCCCCTCCTCCTCTTACATCTGCATCTGCAGAGTTGATTCTCTCACTTTTTTCCTCACTCCTCATTTTGCCTGTGTCATGTTTTTGCCCTTTCTTACATACATTTCCCCGAGGTGCCACCATCTCAGCTCTGGGTCTCAGCAGTGCTCTGGGGTTGGTCAGTGGGAGCTGGCTGGAGCCGGGCATGTCCAGACCGGGGCAGCCCCAGCCTCTTCTCCTGTCCTAAAAAAAGTCCTCAAACTTATCCTCAACCAGTGTCGCCATGATACTTAAAACAATATATTGCTGAGAAAAAAAGAAGAGTTAACGCATCAGACAACCTACATACATTCAATGTCCAACTACAACCTCGTCAGCACTGTACAACATAACAACCAGTCTCAGCTACCTCATCCCATCCTAATTTTTTTCGCATTTATTTCCTATGACTCCTAAGTAAGGCCACTGCTGCTTTCCAGGATACACTTTCTTCCTGTAAATACGCCCTATAAGACAAGATGATCAAGCTCTTGTTAGATGTTCCATGTCTACTCTACGCAAACCACTTCTCCGCACTTCTGTAGTTTGCCTGCATGGCTTTGTTTTTCAAGGTATTGTAGTTATCACCTTGATTTATTCTTAAAAGATCCTGACAGCAGAACTGCATGGTCCAGAAACGTAGGAAAGTCAGCCCTCTGCCTTCTACAAAATCAGTCCTTTCTCAGGTGTATTTTTTTCCCCGGCTCAGTGCAAGCCCCATGCTTAAACTTAAAGCGAGCACAGCGTCGGTGACGAAATGAACGTTCACATGGCAAAGTGCTTTTGGCAGCAGCAGGAGCAAAGCAGGAGGGGGACATGGCAGACCCATATAGCAACAGCAATACAGAAGTCAGGCCGAGTGAATACCTGGAGCTGCCAGAATCAACTATCAGCACTAAAACAAGGCACATCCCCACAAGTCTTTAAACGGCAGAGAACGTACTGGTGAAAACGATGTCAGCTTACACGGCACTCTGATGTGAACTAAGCATTGAAAGGAGCAGAGGCAGCTAAAAGAGAATCCTATGAGGCAATAAATATTTCAGACCAGAAGTAATGCATCCTTTATCTGATAAAGCTAGTATTAAATTTCCACTCTCTCCGACGAGGTCGTATCTCTCGGAAGTGACCCTAGCTGACGCATCAGAACACAGGCTCACACGCACCGAGCGCAGCAAGCAGCGGCACGGCCAGTGCCCGCACCTCCTCAGGCCGGGGACACGGCCGCAGGCCCCACTCCTCTCCTTTAAGCTGGGCCTGCCGCCCACCTTGAAGGCCATTATGTCCTTGCACGCTCACTGCATCGTTACCTTTGTCATTCCGCCTCGCTCAGCGCTGTTTTACTTGTGGGAAACAGGAAGGCACAAGGTGCTGCAAGAACACTCGTTTCTGCTCTGTGACGCTACCACGGGCGGAACACGCTAATTAGTCACTCAGACCCAGAGCGTGCGACATCTCTTCCAACACGGGAAACCCATCTGGGGGCTGACAACTGGAGCAATGGGCATAACTTAATTAACGACCGACACTTTTTTTTTTTGTTCCAAATTATCAACTTAAATACCAGTGCCATGACACAAGGTCGAAAGATTGTAATTGCTGAGTAACACTGTCAGCATAAGTGTGCTCTAATACTTTTCAGGGAAGACGGTTAAGAACTACTAAGTAAAATACATATATTTACCTATTAATTGAAAACATCTGAACAGCAAAACATTGGTAACATTTAAATTCCTTTTACAGATTATTTACAAAAAAAAAAAAAAAAAAAAAAAAAAGGACTTTATTCATACAAACACTATGATGCATTGTTCTTCTCATCCCAGCCTGTGCCCACAGACATTCCACAGTTAGTGGAGCTTTACACACGAATATCTTCTGCCTCGATTAATCTCAGGGACTTCAGAGGCAGCTAGCAAAATTATGCCAGCCAGTTGCTTACACTGTGCATTCTTATAAGAATAATTAAAATGCCAGTAGTGACGCTATTTTCCTTCAACCCACTAATGCTAAAAAGCATCAGGAATTAATTCCTGCAAAGCACCATGCAAGACACACACGTTTAATGCTTGGAATTGTATTTTGTTATTTAGCAATGAGACAAGGGTTGTGGTTTGGTTTGGGTTTTTTTTGAATTAAAGTGGCTCATATTAAACCACGTAGTGTCTTCACAGTTAGAGCCTATTGCAAAAACAGACCACACGCTTCAAATACACGAGCCAGAAGGGTCACTTCCAAGTGATGCCTTTTAACCATTTTTAATACAAACTTACATATAGAGCAGCTTCTAGCAGTTTAGTCCTGCAACTAAACACACTCACGTTAATAAAATGGTAAATGTTGGTGAAGGGACATTAGTTTACAAGGTTTTATAGCTATCTCCACGGTTATGACATCGCCTTTGTCAAGTTTAACAGAATATTTCAAAATAAGCAAGTCTTTTTACTGCATGCATGGCAAAACCTGTTTAAGCTACAAATAGCAAGTAAAAAATAATAGGCATTATTTTCATCAGTAAATGAAACAGTAGACAATTATTCAATAAAATACTTTTATTTATGTACACAGTGTAAAGACGCCGTACCATTCAACAGACATTATGTTGTACAAGAGCAGGCTTGAATTTGCTTAACACTTCTAAATCCACTTTAAGTGGGAGTCTCCCTGAGGTTAAGAAAGGTGTCTCATAACTGTACACGACATCAGTATTTAATCAGTGTTATCAGGAAAAAGCAAAAAAACCTGAAAGATTTGGACATGGGTATTTAGTGGAAGAAGGGCCCAACAGTACGTGCTGAAAACCTTTAGACAAAGACATCAGCGTGGTGATGTGTCTGCTGCACGACTGTGACCAGTACTGCAAATAAACAGAAAAATTGGCGGGTGGGAGGGGAAATGATGACAGGTTTTGGAAAAAAAATGTAAGACAGGACACAAATGGAGGCAAACGCAAACTGTGATTTAGGTTAGGAACGCTGTATGAAAACAGTAAGAACCAGATGCCTGGCCAGGGTGCCTTAGATCAGGCATTTTTCTTTAAAACCAAAAAAATTTTTAAAATCCCACACCAAACCCCCCCACCTCCATCATAGTTTGTTGTTTGTTTTGGGCTTGTTTGGTTTCTTTTTCAGACAGCTTCAGCCAGAAAGGTGACAAAACCAGCACTCCCTGAGTAAGCTTGTCCAACAAGAAAGCAGGATGAAGTCTCCAAGAGTCACCTAGGCAAACAAAAAAATTCACCCAAAAATACAGTATGCAAGAATTTTCCCATTCATGGCAGCAGCACACCCTGTGACCCAATCCAGCCACTTCTGAAGCTGACTGTGAATTTTGCTACACTGGGTTGCAGATCTGAGAGGCCCAACAGGACTGGGATTAGTTTTGCATTAACAAAATTTATAAACAAACTGTGACTAGTCTACCTTTGGGTTGAAAAGCAGCACTTCATTGTAAGAGTAAGTAGATACCAAAACCCTCGGTTATAGAACTTTTTCGGTCTTGTTTCAGAACAATGAGACAGTCAGAAACCAGAAAATCCACTTGGAGGGAGCAGCCAGAAGGCAGTGAAGAAAACATTCAGGTATTTAAAAAAAAAACCAAAAAACAAAAAAGGTCTGCATGACAGAACTGGTAACTCCAACTCTAGGCCATCAAGATGAAGAAGAAAGGTTGTCTGTATTTTTATGTCCCGTTATATTTCTAGCTGGGCTGTAAGCATCCCATCGCCCGCCAAACCAACAGAAATAAAATGAGTGCTGTTATTTGCTTCATTGCATAGCTCTCTTGTTCTAGCACGTGTAGCAGTGTTTAACAGGTGCTCTTAGGTATTATTAATTATATAGTTCAGACATGCAAAAGATTTGAGATATGCCATAACAGTCTGCATGAAAAAACTCACACTGAGATGCATACTAAAAAGATTACCTTATTATAATAAAAAACCCATTTTAATGAAGGATTTTAAATCCACTTAATAACATTACACAAATTAATAATACAAAATATTAAACTTTAGAAGTCTGGTGCCACTGACATAACTATCCACCTCTCTGCTTGGACCACAACTAATCTCTTTTTTCAGCCCCAAATTCACTACTAACCCCAACTCTCCATATTCTTTTGTTTTAGCACATAGAAACTTCGCCTCCTTTAGCCAGCCACTAGAAGAATTACACACTTGGCCCAAATTTATTTCTCTTCTGATGCTTCCATTTTCCTTTAGGATTCTTCAGCATTCTGTAGCTGGGAGTTTTATAATTATTGCCTCATTTTATCGAATCCAAACCTTTATGTTTTAAGCTGCATAGAGCACACCATCATTTTGATATCTGGTGACTTATCCTCTGCCTTCCCCCCTGGAACTCCTGCAAAGCGAGGTTTGGATTCTGCGAGATGTGTATTTGGATCACATATTTGGGCTCTGTTTCTGAGGAATTCATCCCTCTGCTTTCTTCTAAAGTACTTTTAACACTACTCGCTCTCACACAACCCCTCAGGAGAAGTATAAAATTTCCAGCTTTCAGAGAACCTTTTTTTCTATAGGATGGTGTCCAGACAGGCCACACTGCCGAACACTGCAACCTCATTCTGGGCTGCTCAGAAATCAGAAGGTAGCACAAAATTTAGATTTTCTCTACTGAATACCAGCAGGGCAATAGATAGGGTTGCTGTGTAAAACTACTATGACCCTCTCAGCCTAGTTTTGAAGGGGCAATTTCAGATATTCACCACTACATCACTATCGACAAGATCTGGCTCTATGTTTGTGACCTAACAGTAAAAGGTTTCCTCTCCCTTACAGAGCAGCTCTTCAACTCTGTGCTCACACAGAGTGAATTAGGGAACACAGCAACCTGACCACCAGCTTCCTCCCTTCACTAAGAACAAAATCAAAGACATTCCCACCAAAAAATTAATAAAATGGGGTTGTTTACACCAAACAGTGCTTCCTTTACAGGTTTAAAACAATATGCTCCACCAAGGTCAGTACATAAAGCCTCTAACACATGCCTTGACCTAAAATTCTTCACAGCTTGGGCTTGCCCAGTCTTATTACTTTGGAAAATAAATCTGTGTAGCAGTCATGTCACACTGCATGACAAAGTTTCAAATAATGGGCTTTTTATCTTGCTAGTTCAGTGCACCAAAACTAATTAATATCGTTGTCATTCTCCTGCCACTAGGCGTCACTCTTTTCTATAGTGATCTTTATACCTTCACCCGCTGTCCAACACTTCACGCAGGAGCCATCAGACCAATACTATAAGTGGGAGAACATCTACCAAAATTTGCTAAGCCGCTGACTAAAAAAGCAACGCTACTCCTTAGGTCAAGGAAAGATTTAGTGATGTGGCAGATGAAGTGCAAAGGATTGTTAGCGTCACTTTGTACTTTCTTTGAAGTAAAATAAAAATACTAAAAGAACTGAACTCCTAAAGGAGGCGATATGGACTTTCCTCCACAGATGAGTCACCTCAGATTCTAAAACCCTCTAATATCCAAAAATAAGAGGAACCATAACAGGAACACTAGTGGAACTAATTGCATGACCGCTCATGTGGGACCTACACAGAAAATAATTTTACCAATCCACCAGCTATCTTTTCAAGAATGAAGCAGAATCAAACGCTCTGTCATTGCCTCTTGTATTTCACTGATTTAAAGTCCGAAGGGACCACTATGATCACCTAGCTAGACCAGCAGTGTAACGAGTGCAGGCATCCCCACATGTATGTTTGTGGTGGATATGAACACCGCCCATACTGAGGGCAACCTGGAAACTACAACTCACTTTGACGGTGAACACTCAGAATAATTATTTTCCTCAAGTGCACTTAAAAGGAAAAAAAAACCCAAAAAAAACCCCAACCAAAAAAACCCCCAAACCCAGCCATGACTGTATTCTACCACTGACCAATTCAGCCACTTGGAATGATTTAATGGCACACAGGAACGAAGTACCCATGCATACCTAACTTGGGTCATAATTGATCTTAATAAACAACTTAACATGATATCCAGTACCAGTATCTCTGACATCTGTGAAATAGGATTCAAGCTAAACTTGATTCAAGCTGAGCTTAATCGGCAAATTAACTGTAAAGCCACTTTGAAGCATTAGGACAAAGGATACCATTAGAGCATGTCACTACTAAATCATTAAATACTGCCCAACCTGACAAAACTGTTGGTGTAATTCATAACTAAGAAGTTGAAGTTCTTATGTGTATGTACATATGAAACACAAACAATGCTTTTAAATACTTCTGATGCATATAGAATACTACAGGCAAGGAATCACTGTGTTACTGAGCTTCTTGCAAAAGCTTCTAGTTCATGGGCAAAGAACTACTTGGCATCATATTCTTCCACTACCCTACTAGGAAACAGGTGTTTCAGTGTTATATCCTCTTCTTTTGATGTGTTTCACCATTTAATTTTCCATTTTCCACTGCCTTATTTTCAAAGTTCCAGTCAGTTGGGCTGAGGAGCTGATGAGTTTTTTTATATGTCCAGTATGGGTTAAGTATTAGTGTAACGGCAAATAATCCCGAGAATAAAACAATAAAATGAGTAAGTCCCAGATTTTCCATCACAGAATTCCAGTTGAAGATACACACCCACCACATGTGGTAAGTAAGAATCATGCGGCAGTGAAACAGGTGGATCATCACCCACTGGTTCGCCTTCCAGAAAAAGGTATTAGCACAGCCAGCCTACAAAAACAAGAACAGAAAGTATGCAGAATTGAGATTGTTACTTCAAGATAAGGAACTGAGGAATCTGCAGAACTAATGCTAATACCCAGCTTTCACGTACACACGCTCTCAGGCATTTTTTTCCATGTAGAGCTATGATATTCCACATGCATACGTCATCCCACACTCAGAATCAATCTATACCATCTCACTATCCACATACCCACAGCACCACACGGAAACCTACATGGAGGACTACAGAAGTACCATCACGACAAAAGCTGGCATCACAGTAACATGGAGAACAGTTAGGTGAACGCAGTTTTGCTGAAAAGCTAACTAGACAAACCACACGGATTACCTATGGACAAGCAAGATGCATGAAAAACTGATACAAATGTAAACTGAAAGTTATTACGTTCTTACCTTTAGAAGCATCCAGGAAATGCACGTTGAGGGAGTACTCATCTCCAGCAACATTCCCATTAAAGGCAGATAATGTCCAGATTCCACATTAATGACTAGACCAGCCAAGCCACCAAAAGCAAGCAAGTGATGAACTACCAAGAACACATCAAATGTTCTAAAAATAATGTTAGACATGTGAACAGCTACATTTTCAAGCAAGAAAAATCCAGCAGCTATTAAGCAGTTAAACCAACTCCACTTCTGCTGTGAATACACTTTGTCAGCATGAAAAACAGGATCTATGAGCAAAGCCCATAACCCAGCAACACAACTCTGAAGTCCAAACACACCACGTGTGACCGCCATGTTCCAGAACACCTTCTCCTTTGCATACAAGGCACGGTAAGTGGTACTCGTCCATGAAGACAACCAGTGAGACAGAAGAAAAACTCCCAAGTAGATTAAAAAACCAGCAGCTAAAAACATCAAACGAACTTCCCATAAGAGATAGTCCCAGTCAAAAATGGTCCCATCATAATTTGTAGGATTCATTTCTTCTTTTTTACAGAGCAAAGCCTTCCAAGGGGCTCAATACTTCTCACCCACGCTATAGTCTCCTTTATGCCTACTCAGCCTCTGCTATTATGCACACCAGAAACCATGAACTCTTCTTTTTCATCTGGAACAAGGAGAAAAAAATTAAATGAATTTTTAAGTCATCCACATATGTAACTTCTAAACCATAGAGAACTCACTTCCACTGCAGTACGACTTTGTCTTCCCAAAGACAGGTAGACAGACAGACAAAAAAAAAATAAATACTTGAGGTGTTTAAGATTAAAAATCGGCCTGAAAAATCTGTACTAGTACAAAGTAATGCACTGAAGCAAAAGCTGAAGAGGGCAAAGTAGGAAGGCAAGAAAGAGGAAAGAGAAAAATACAAGAAGCAAAACCTGTTTTCTTCCTTATGAAACTTGTACTTCAGCAGCAGTGTGCAGTTGTTATCCTACGCGCCTGCTTTTCCCTCACTTGGTTTTCCACCACTTCCTATGGGTTTGGGTGCAATTCATAATCTCAAATACAGATCCAGGACATAAAACTACGAAAACTTAATCCAGTAAAGGATCACAGAAAAGGGCTTTCAGGATCATACCTCAAAATAAGACTTTGCAATCAGTTTCTGAATATTAAACCACTTTCCAACAGAAAACAAATTCCAAAAATGCAAGAACAGTCTGGAATGCAGACAAGCAACATTAACATGTATTATTAACAACATTAGCATAATTAACTGAACAACCCAGTAGTAAGTGCCTCAAGTTAGCTGAAACTTCCCCAACAGACCATAGTTCAAAACCAGAGGTTTGTGGGGAGGGAAAAGCCAGATAATACTTAAGTGTTTGAATGCCAGCTCATTTTATGCATGATTTAGGTGATATCAGCACGACCACTAGACCCACAGGCAGCCTGTAAATACTCAGAATCACAGTGTGTTTGGGATTTCGGTGGGAGCTGGGTGATAAACCCACAACGACCACCGAGCCCCCCGTGAGATGCTCCTGCCGTGCCTCACCCTGCAGCAAATCCCACCGCAACCCAGATCCCGTAGGGACCTGCTCGCCCTGGCCTTTGCTCGCAGGTGCCCCTCTCCAAGCCGGGGGGAGACGGACGGACGGACGGCGGACACAACTGTCAGCCCCGGTCCGAGGGCCTACGCCCGCCCCGCGGCCCCAGACCTAACAAGACGGACAAGAAGGCGGAATCCCAACAGCCTTCCCCCCCCCCGCCATCCCCCGGGGGAAACCCGGCGCAAAACA